TCCATATGATATAACAAAAACCAAACTTTTTAATCTTTACGCCGCTAAATTTTGTTGCATTTTTTCCGTTCGATGTTGGCTCACTGAGAGAAAGTCCCTGGAGCAAATGATCTTTTAAAAAATGGGATACATGCTTTGGGCTAAAAAAAAAAATTAAAAAAGGATTAACTCAGCCAGGTCAGTTTTTTATATTTTAAATAGTAGATGTTTCCGTGGCTAGCATTTTTCTGTGACTGATCGTGCTGTAGTCGAAAATGAATAAAGATCTATTGTTTCCATCTCCAAGATATGAAACAACATCGTCTCAGGGTAAAAAACCCCACTGAAATGGCTTTTGTTGAAGTGTTTATAACATCTGGTTGTTGGTGGCTGTATGACGCAGTAGCGGCCAGCACATCATTTGGACTCCATTGAGAGTACTCTGTTATAGCAGGTATTAAAAAAATACGCTCAAGATTCAAAAGTCTTTTGTTGACGTTGAAATCAAAACAGTGAGGTTTGGCTAGAGGGAAATCGGCAGAACAAATTAATGAGCAAGGTAATAGGCAGCTCCCAGAATTTTGAGTAAGAAATTACTTACAACTAATGAAAATTAATTACCTGGAAAACTACATTTCAGCTCCATGACAAAAAGTATAGAATTCTTGATTATGTATTGGTCCCTGCGTGTGTGTGTGTGTGTATGTGTGTGTGTGTGTGTGTGTGTGTGTGTGTGTATGTGTGTGTGTATGTGTGTGTGTATGTGTGTGTGTGTGTGTGTGTGTGTGTGTGTGTGTGTGTTTGTGTTTGTGTTTGTAAGGGAGAGTGTTTCTGGGAGATGTCGTTTGAAAGTTGAAAAAAGTCTGCCTGTAAGTATGCATCTGTATCAATTTTCTGTGAGAGGCTGATAAGGAAATTTTACAGAAAACTGAACAACAGTTAGTAACAAAAACAGAATGAAAGGTGTTTTAGAGGACAACACAAGGGAATAGCTTAATTAAGTGATCAAGGGAACTGCACATCGCATGACTTGTTCTCAAGGTTAAAGTAACCCAAACATCTTCACCCATTAATTCTTGACCTAAAAGTTTATAACCTTTGGATGCAAATGAAAGAATACTTTTGAGTTAGGAGGAAAAAAATAATTCTGGGCCATATGGTTTGTGACATTCCTCAATCTCCAACAGTCTACGTCTGCACGATACTGTGAATTTGATCCATTCCGTGGTTTTCCGATGTCTTATCTGTGGGTACATAGCGCTGCTGTTGAGAGCTTGGTTGTGTGGCACAACACATGTTTGTCCTGTGAACCTTTCTGCATTTATGTATTTTGATTGGGCTACGGGCATTCTAACCTTCCAACCTACTGGAGTTGAAATAATCCTTACCGTGTGATTTGGAGTGGTATTTGCACAACGCTACACTTCGAGCAGGAAACAAAAACATGTCTTAGTAATGAGATGCTATACAGACTTCTGAATGGAGTTACAAAACATACCGATGAAATAAAACTACTTTGTTTTTTTATGTTGGCATCATCGCCTTTTCCCTCTCAGTTTCCACGGGCTTGGGACCGTCTCAGGGTACACTGTACACCGAGGCCTGATTAAAAAGACGGCGCTACCGAGCGCTCACGTCTGGGGTATGTTAGTTGTTAGTCAGTTTAAGAATGTTAGTGTTATGGGTTGGGTCAGTCAACAAATTGGATGTTAGAAATTAGTACATCTTGCTAATTAAAGTAAGTTATAGCTACAGTTTGCATTCTAGTGATTTAACGATTGAGTAGTTGTTATTGAAACAGCTGAAAAAAGACAAAACAAAGTAGCCGATTAAACCAAGCGCTGCCCCCACAGTGGCTGGAATAATTTCGGCTCGTTAGTAACACATTAATGAAAACACAGAAATGCACGTACGAGACAAGACATTTCAGAGTTAGATAAAATGGAAACTTTTTAGTTACTGTGAGACAACTATGTTAGTAAAGTAAAATAGAGAAAATGCTGTGTCCACTTCGTAGGTAGCAGGTCCCCCCTCAGCGGTAGTGAGGGTAACAACTCACCAGCAACATGTGTAAAGTCCTCGTCAACTCCCCATTACTCACATGATGACTTCAGCTGGTGATGTACAGGCCCTGAGCTTGCCTTGGTGTGTCCAAGACACCTGCTTCCTGCCTCATTGAGTTTTCTGTTGGTTAAGACAAACACGAGTGCAAAATATGTGTCGTTGGGTGGACAAATTTGTAAGTAAACTAAAAGTTAAAGTAGTGTAGTACATTTCAAAAACCCAAATAGCAATTCAATTCAATTATTAGGTGAATTAGGTAAACGGAAATGGGTGAAATATAAGAAAACTAGAAACAACTTCAACACCATATTTTGTTAGAAAGTGCTAAAATGAAGAAAGAAAAGAGGAAAAAAAGTATGCAAATACAGCACTTGCACTCGTTACAGAGAGTCTATGATTACCCTGAACTGCTGAAAGCGCTCACGAAGGAATTCCAGGAGATGGCAGACTGAAAGTCGGAGTCGTGGGTTGTTCTGTACAAGCCTGTAGAGCACAAACCTGTGGAGTAAGCAAAAATACTCAGATCAATAATCGGCAACATCAAGTGAAAGCAAGTATTCATATTATGGTAAATGGAAATTTCTGAATATTCTACGTAACAGACTACAAGTATGTATTTTCTTTAAAAAACCAACATATTACTATTTTATTTTTCATTTACAAGGAATCAACAGCACTCATCTAAAAGTAAAGAAAGCTGCATTGGGTTAGGATCCAAAGTAAAGAATGTCTCGTTACCTGAAGAAGCCCAAGAGCGGCATTAGGGTTCTGTCGGATTTCACAGCGTGCAGAAGATCCTCTCCATCGCGAGGTTTTCGTTTGAAGACAAGAAACCACAGCGTTGCTCCAAGTGCGTACGCGTCCGTCTGTAGAGAATAAGTGGAAAAAAGAGTTGGTCAATAGTGAGCAAATGGTTCCAAGCAACAGCATATTGCTGCAGTATACAAAGACCTTCAGGGAGCACACAGAAAAAAAGAAAGGGAAAATACAATTATCTACTAGTACGCAATAGTGACAAACAAGATTACACCAGACAAACAAAGAAAGGATGTTATGCATATTATAACCCAATAACAAAAGCCACAGCGCATTTACAATTTTTAAATAAAATTACTTG